GGCGGAGAGAAAAATGAAAGAGGAATAGGATTTATATTAGACATGACATGACTAAGATATGAAGAGTGATGTTCTGGGATACTGTTAAATATCTGAAAGGAAAGACTTTCAACGTATTCAACTTAGTTGTTTATGCACTGACAGCACAAAGTACAGAGGAAGAAATTGAAAAGTTTTACTCTATGTTAGGCAAAGCCCTGAAATCACCAGAAATTACGGTTGTCATGGGAGACGTGAATACCAAATTAGGTAAGGAGATAGATGATGAAACAGAAAATTCGGACTAACTTATTATAGTTGCTTTTGAAACCAACGCTGTGGATCGATATATCCTTAATTATTGCCGCGTTATCATCTGTATTAATGTTTACTACTGATTCGAGAATGTTCCTAGGAAAATCTTACTTATTATAAAACGCAGTGTATGTGTGTGTGTGTGTGTGTGTGCGTGTGTGTGTGTGTGTGCCTGTTCGTTTATATATGGGATCGTATTTCCTACATTTTTCAACCGATTTCAACAAATCTTCACAGGACTACGTAAAATTACCCGGTGGTGGTTCTGACAGCGCTAAAAATTGGAAAAACACAATTGTTTTTGCACGAAATCAATTTGAAAACACGATTAATCGCCAGAATTAAAGGGGGACAACTCATAGTTATACTTATAAAACCCAGGTTGTTTGTGTGTGTCTGTGTTCGTTTATATATGGGATCGGATTTCCTACATTTTTCAATCGATTTCAACAAAACTTCACTTTTTTTTTTTGGCAGGTAATGTTTCTTATTCTCTTGCACACTTTTTTCTTTATTTTTACATTCAGAATGCTTTAAAAATTCTATTTACAAGACAATTGTTTATAATAAAATTCTATTCAATCGGTAGACTCATAACGATTGAAAACAATGTTTTTGTTTGAGTTTGGGTTTGACCAACTCGTAAAAAAAAATAATTAAGACATGCATGTCCATCAACCTTAAACAATATAATCTTTGTCAATTTTATTTTTCAGTCTTTATGATAGTCGATACTTGATCTATCTCTTACTGTTACATCCCCGGGCAACGCCGGGCTCTACTGCTAGTCGTTAATAAAAAGCAGAAAGAGTGAAGGATCGAGGACATTCCTTGAGGACACGTACATTGACCTCATGGGCTTCAAAAGACTGGCTATTCACAACGGTTTTCATGGACCTACCTGAGAGAAACAACTTGATAATTGCGCGAATTCTTCCAAAGATGCTATAGTCGGTGAGTTAATGTAGTAATCTTCCCCACCTTCTATGCCACACTTTGTTAAAGGCCTTTTACATATCTAAATTGACCCATTTCGTGGTCACGTTTGCATCGAACGTCTCACACATTGTATGCGTTATGACACTTAAAACAACAGCAATGGGCCTGATTATCGCTAAAGAAACGAAAGTTTGTTAATGCCATTAAGAACGATAACACTTTCTACAGACTTAGGAAGCGTTTCTCTTTCAGGCAGCCGTTAATAAACTTTGCCAAGATTGAGCTTAGCTCTTGGATAAGGTTCTTAAGAATAACAACAGAAATTTAATCTGGATCGTTGAGTCAATTTTTCTTTTCTGACAATGAAAACATACCGAACCAAGATAGTGAAATAGCTATGCTTCTGGTACCACAAGAAATGGGACATCCATTAGAGAATGTCTCTTAACGTTTCGAGTGGAATCCCAGGCAAGATCATTGTAAAGCTTTGTCTGGCGAAAATGAAATAATAACAACGATATTAATAATAGTAGGCAAAGATGTTTTGTCCATATTAAGAATCTTCTTAGAAATATATCAGAAGCAACATTTCTTCAACTTTACCTTTAACAGACTTTACATAGATTACTATCCAGAGCTATATTCCGATATTTACGAGCAATTCTGATATCCTGCACAAGTCTTGCTACACCTTTTACCGTGATTAAGATGCTAGCAATGGTTACGGTCAGCTGTGACATCAGAATATTCAGGCGTATACCAACACTAAATATTCGGCCTTTGCTGATAAGTCATGGAATTTTTTTTTAAATACCTCAATACCAAAAAGAATCCACTTAGAAATGAAGGAGGCTATTCTGAATGTTCTACGTTGAAGAATCTGGAGAGACGAGCTTTATCCCAGTCGAGTAGAGCATCCCAGTTAGTAGAGCATCGAAAAATTGCCCTATGAAACAGTGCATCAGAAGTTGTCTTTGCTTTAACAACATTCTTTACACGGGTCAGTGAGAAATCTGAAGAGCTTAGGGGAGGTGACACTACAGAGGAACAATTGTCAGGACAGGGAGTGAGAAATGGAAGACGTACATGATGACCTGGGTTCATATATTCTTCATTATTAATATTAATTTATTACTAGTTTTATTCTATCTTATTTTTGTTGCTTCATACCACATAACTCTGGCTCAATACACCCTTCGTTATTGCTGTTATTGTATTGCTAGTTTTATTCCATATTATTATTGTTGCTTTTTATCTCGACACTCTGGCTCAATACACTCTTCATTATTATTATTATTATTATTATTATTATTATTATTATTTATTACTAGTTTGATTCCATCTTATTATTGTTGCTTTTTATCCTAACACTCTGGCTCTATACATTCTTCGTTATTACTATTATTTTATTGCTAGTTTTATTCCATCTTATTATTATTGCTGTTTATCCCGACACTCTGGCTGAATAAACTCTTTATTATTACTTTTGTTTCATTACTAGTTTTCTTCTATTGTATTTTAGGGATAAAGAATTAAAATTATTCAGCACTGAAATACTTTCTCCATTATGGATATTTCATAATTTTAGCTTCGGTCAACAGACACATAGTTTTTATTAAATAATTCGTTTTTATGGATTCTTTGCCTGTTTTGATTAGCGTCGCGTACAAATTTATTTAGCAAGTTTATTAACTGTTTTCTCTCTTCTTTCATCGTCCTAAATGAATAAATATGGCAGCTGTGGGTCTTTTTTATAATTAGAATTGTACATTGGGAAAGCTGAAATGTTCTCGGTTTGACCAAAATGCCCATTCAATATATATATATATATATGTGTGTGTGTGTGTGTGTGTGTTTGCGTGTGGTATTTCGTCAAATTTTGATAAATAGGTCGAGCTGAGAATTTTTTAAGCAACGTGTCGGATTCCTAAATATTTTTATTCTTGAAATTATTCTTTCGTGGAAAAGGTGTTTTGATATTTTACAATTGCTTTATTTTTCTTGGAATGAATAATTTTATCGTGTTACATAACGCTGCTATTATCTGTGAATACTGAATTTTGTACGGTTTGAGATTTACTATTTTAACACACCGATATCTTTCTCTCCAAAGAATTTGATTGATAAATTGATTCGTTTTCGATGGCTTATCAACCCTTTTGCACGTTATTTAAAGGCAGAAAATATTTTTAGATAGTAAGAATTTTTGGAGATAAGAAAGATTTAGGGATACAAGCCTTACTAATTAACCCATAACTAGGGGGGATGAGGTGGATTCATACCTTCCCTAAATGTATTTGCACGTAAGGAAACATAACGAACCCAACTGGAATTGGAACTCAGCTCTCCAGTTAACAAATCTGATCCATTACACCACCCGCACATCCAAGTTCAGAGCACCTAGCATTCCGAAGCGGCCACCCATTTGGCACTGACCAAGTTCGACGTTACTTAACTTCGGTGATCTTACGGGAACTGATGTTTCGACGTGATGTGGCTGTATGGCCAAGTGTAATTTTTCATCAATCTTTCTTACATCTTAATTTCTGTATGTTTTTATTTTTACTCTTCCACCAGTATTCTGCGAGCGTTGAATAGACGGGAAATAAGGAATACACCTCACCCAGTAGCCTGTGTTTTCGTCATATTGCAATTACCAGATCTTAACTGTAGCTGACGCTCAATTAAATTTGATTCTTTATTTCATCGACAAGTATTTTCAATAATGTACCTGCAGTACAAGGCTCAAGGATAGAGTTTGAGAGAGTAAGAGATAGGGTGGAGGGGCACAGTTTATGAATATATATGGGGAAGATAACGGTTAACTCTAGATTTGAACAAGTTAAGATTTCAATGATCGGGGAAGAATCTTCTTAGTAGTTGGTTCCACAAAGAGAGGAATTTGATGAAATTTAAAGACAATATGGAAAGCTTTTGAATTCTGAGCCTAGAACATTATTTTTTTCTCGTTCCAATTCTAGTAAAATTGAATTTCGAGTTTTAAATATTATTGTTTCTTTTGTCAATTCTAGTAAAATTGAATTTTCTGTCCTGAACATTATTGATTCGTGCGCCAATTCTAATAAAAGTGAATTTTCAGTTTTGAACATTATTGATTCTTCTGCCAATTCTCGTAGAACTGAATTTTCTGTTTTGAACATTATTTTTTCTTTTGCTAATTCTAGTAAAATTGAATTTTCAGTGTTGGATATTACCGTTTCTTCTAGTACGCCGTATATGGAAAATTCTAATGAATAAGAGTTACAAGAATTTTTTTTCCCAATTGTTCAATCAATACAAAGCCTAAAAGCCACACAAGGTAGAGGGTTACCGTAACAGCGTAAAAGAGGAAGAAAGGAATGCAGTTCGTCAGGATATGTCAGAAAGTTACCAGTTGACCCTTGACGAACAGCTTAAGATTGCAGTGGTTGGGGAAGCATCCTCTTGGGAGACCCACAAAGTAATACTTCTTGGAATGAAATTGTCCGAATGGAATGGAATGGGCTAACTTTTCAGTGCAAGGGCATTATTAAAAAATCCACAGTTTTATCGGGCCGCATATTTTATTAACCCAAAACTACAGTCATTACCAGTTTGTTAAAATTAGGCGTCAAGTTGCTTGTGCTGTTCCCCAACATTAACAACGTACAACATTGACAGAATCAGCCAAGCAAGCTTTAATAAATTCTGCTGTTGCAAATGAGTTGTTTGTTTTGTAATTTCATTTGTCAATACAAAACATCCCTTTGTCGCGTTCCTTTGTAAAGATGAAGTTTTCTCAGACACAGTTTACTGATGCTTCGAATAATTTACCAAATCATTTGCCTTCTTTTGCAGTTCTTGCTGTGGTAAACTGTGTCCAAATTTGACGTTCTTGGATTGAAACTGTCGTTTCAAATTGTATTCCTTGTACACAACAACTGTTTAATGACAAATCAAACATACAGATTTAACTCCAACGTCAGTAATGAAATACCTTTCGGTCCACTCTTTGTTAAACACTCGACATTCGTCTTCAATTTTTCGCGTTTTAGATGGCTTCGAATAAGCCATTTTGGGTAAAGTTTGTAAGATAATAAAAGCGACTGAGTAGCGAGAGGCTTGCAAACGCTTCATCTGTGGGGAAACGTTTGTAAGGGTGGAAGAATTAATTATAAGTTTTTGAATAGTCTTGGAACTTATCTGTATCTTTTATTACAAGCCCCACACCGTCTTTCCTCGATCGTTAATATAAGATGTAATGATATTCAAAATTTTAGATAAAGTATTGCCATTATAATTAATTTCTTTTAGAAATAACAATGATCCGCCATTTTGGATGAAGTACTCCCATGATTATAAATATTTATCACAGAATCTGCATTTCCGTATTATTATTTTATTTTCTTTGATTTTTGGTGTATATTCATCTCTTTCCGGGTCCCAACCAAAGATCTAAGGTCAGAAACGTCTTCATGACATTTTCCACTGATCATGTTTTGTAAAAAAAAATGAGAAAACAAAAAAATAAGATCGCCCACTTTTTAAAGCTGTACTTGTGAGTACAAATCTGTGTATTTCTTTAAGGCATGGGATAACATGGATCCCTTCAATGAGTCTATCGAAATCTTTTCCAATCAATCCGGGGGCTCCAACTACAAGTGAAATTACTGATGTCCTCATCTGCCACAATTTTGAGATTTTCATTTCAAGATCTTTGTATTTTGATAGTTTTTTTAAAGAATTTCAAAGGTAAATTAAAATCTGCAGGGATTGTCATGTCGAAAAGAAAACACCTTTTTTTGTAGTCTTTTGTCACGATGTCTGAGCAATTTGTATTCAATGTTCTGTCCTCATGTATTGTAAAAGTCCCTTAAAATTGTTACAGATCCTATCTCTTTAACCGGGTCAGGGTGATGTTCATCCCAGTTTCTTGCAGTTTCTTTCCCGTAAAACTTGCATATTTCCAGTGCGGATATTGGGCCACTCTATCAAGCCGAGTTTTATATTCACTTGATGCTAAACTGTGCAACCTGATACAAGATGGTCAACTGATTCTTGATATTCATCAAAGAATATGCATTTTGGGTCAACACAGTTTTTCATTATCATTATTTCCTTTGGTTTCTGCTGCATACACATTTCTTTCCGGGTCCCAACCAGAGATCTAAAGTCAGAAATGGTATCATGACATTTTCCACCGAGCATTTTTGAAGATCTCCCCACCCCAAACCTAAGATCACACACATTTTACATAGATAAAGTTCTTTATAAGGTGTGGGTTGTACTTGTGAGTAATTTGTTTTGTATTTCTTTAAGACTTGCGCTACCAGGAATCCTTCCAATAAGTCTATCAGAATCTTTTCCAATCAATCCGAGGGCTGCAACTACAACTGTAATTGTTGTTGTCCTCATATGCCACATCTTTGTGAATTTGATTTCACGGTGATTGCGTTTTGATAGTTTTATTACTATTATTTTTTATTATTATTATTATTTTTTATTATTATTATTATTATTATTATTTTCTTTGATTTCTGGCGTTTACACATTTCTTTCCGGGTCCCGCCCAGGGACCTAAGGTTAGAGATGGCATCATGACACTTTCCACTGACACACACAAAAAAAAAATCACATAGATAAAGCCCTTCGTAAAGTGTGGGCTGTACTTCTCAGAACAATTTTTGGATCTCCTTGAGGCATGGACTTCCAGGAATCCCTTCAATTAGTCTACTGCAATCTTTTCCAACCAGTCCTAGGGCTCCAACTACAACAGGGATTGTTGATGTTCCCATATGCCATATATACTATTATTATTATTATTTGTTTAATATTTCCATCGGTATATTTCTGCTGTTTATTCGCTTTTTAGCATTCATGATGTTATTCTACGACTGTTAAGCAATGTAAGTGTAAATTCAAGACCATCTCCCACGAGAATTGAATTCGTATCGCTTAAATTTGATGGCTGGTAATTATTTCTTTTTTTATATATCAAGATGCGTTTTTGTTGATTTGTATTAATTTCTTTTGCATGTTTTTCTTTGTCTTTTCTTCATTTTTTTCTCGTCTTCCTCGTTTTCTTCTTCTTCACCACTTTCTGTTTACTCACGCTCATTCCCTCCATTTTTTGAATTTCTCTTTCTTTTCTTTTTTTTTTTTCATGCGTCTTCTACTCTCTTTCCGACTTCATCTTCTTTCTTTCTTTTTCCTTTCCAGTTCTAGTGCCTTTATTTTCACCTACGCCCTCCTTTCCTATTCCATTTCGTTTCAAGTTAACACCGACTTCCTCTTCTTTCTTTTCTTCTTTTCTTTTTTCTTCTACTCTTTCTTTTTGCTCGTCTCTTTTCCCCCTCCCTCTCTTTTTTCGTTTTCTCTTTTTCCTCCACTCTCCGTTATTTATTCTTTTTTTTCTTTTATCTGTTTTTTCACCTAATCCCGTACTTTACCTTCCTTCCTCTCTCTCTCTCTCTCTTCTCTCTCTATCTTTCTCTCAGCTCTCCATTTTATTTTCCCTCTTCTCATTTAATTATCTTTGTCCACCTTACTCTTCTCCTTTACTCTCTTCTACATCTCTTTATAATTCTCTTTCCTTCCTCCACATATTTATTTTCTTTCGTTCGTAAATACTGTTTATCATCTGCCTCTCTGTGATCTTAATCGTTCGCCTAAAGTCTTTACTATTTTCGGTAACTAAACAAGTAGAATTGATACGTATTTTTATATAAGATGCAAAAAATATGACACAAGAGGCCTGGATTTCAATGTCCGGTCTTTTTCACAAGCCCGTCGCAATCACTGACCCAAACATTCGATAATATTCTTTCCATCAAAACATCACGTTTACACATCTCAATCATACTGCAGACAGCGCAATTTCTCTAGGAAGTCTTAACTAGTCCCATGTGAACAATTTAACTGCAGATATAAAACTACGTCCTCAACATGAATGGTGGTGATTTTATAGCTAGTCAATGGCACGCCCTCTAGCGACTTCAACAGTCGAGGTTTCAAGGACGATCACTCGATCATTCCCTAATTATTCTCCTACCATTTTTACGTTTTTAAGAGATTTTTCTTCTATTTCTTCGCAATTTTTTCTCTATTTTTTTTTACTTTTCATTCATACTTTCTCATTTTTTTTATTTCTCATTCTTCATTTTCATTCTTTCCTTATAACCACTTCTTTTTCATTTTGATGTCTTTTCTTTTTCGTTACTTTTGTTTGCTGAATTCTTCTTTGTATTCCTTTTCATTTGCCTTCGGATTTCTTCTTTCTTAAACCTCACTCCTTTTTCTTCTTCCTACTGTCTTCATTCAAATATCTTGTACCTTCTATCATTCTTCGCTTTCTTACTTCCTAATTTTCTTCTTGATATCTACCCCATTCTTCTTCTTGTTCTTCTTGTTCTTCTACTTCCTTATTTTCTACTTCTTTTTTCTTATTTTTTAACATTCTTCATAATTTGGGATTTTTTCTTTCTTCCTTTTTTCTTATTTTTTTTGCTTCTTTCTTTCTTTCTTTCTTTCTTTCTTTCTTTCTTTCTTTCTTTCTTTCCGTATGTCTATCTTATTCTTTTTCACATTGTATTGATTAATGTCTTGAGCTGCAATTCATTCGTATCTGTTAGCAACGACGTGAAATGTAAAGCGATTCTCTGGCGTTTCTGCCTTCTGATCAGTCATCAATGTTGCAAACTTTTCACTTCTTCGTTCTTCATTTTACGTTCTTTCATTAACGATTATGGACCATTCTGTATCTATCTATCTATCTATCTATCTATCTCATTTTGTTCTGATCTATCTATCTATCTATCTATCTATCTATCTATCTATCTCTTTCAGTCTCTATCTATCTATCTATCTATCTATCTATCTATCTATCTATCTATCTATCTATCTATCTATCTCTTTCAGTCTGTTTCTATCTATCTATTTCATTTTATTCTGATCTATTTATTTTCAAATGCGAACAAGAAAACAAATTCATACTTCACTACCTAGAACCACATCACGACCAAATATAATAAATAAAAACCCATAACCTAAATATAATAAACTTTATTCCAAATACCAAAAAACAATGAAAAATACTCGAAAGAAAAAACAAAATATATATAAAATGCTGATACCCCTTAAAGAGTGGACGGACAGTTGTGCATATGAATGTCGGAAGTCGGAATCTATCTATCTATCTATCTATCTATCTATGAAACTCTGAGGTCGGAATCTATCTATCTATCTATCTATCTATCTATCTATCTATCTATGAAACTCTGAGGTCGGAATCTATCTATCTATCTATCTATCTATCTATGAAACTCTGAGGTCGGAATCTATCTATCTATCTATCTATCTATCTATCTATGAAACTCTGAGGTCGGAATCTATCTATCTATCTATCTATCTATCTATGAAACTCTGAGGTCGGAATCTATCTATCTATCTATCTATCTATCTATCTATCTATCTATCTATCTATCTATGAAACTCTGAGGTCGGAATCTATCTATCTATCTATCTATCTATCTATGAAACTCTGAGGTCGGAATCTATCTATCTATCTATCTATCTATCTATCTATCTATCTATCTATGAAACTCTGAGGTCGGAATCTATCTATCTATCTATCTATCTATCTATGAAACTCTGAGGTCGGAATCTATCTATCTATCTATCTATCTATCTATCTATCTATCTATCTATCTATCTATGAAACTCTGAGGTCGGAATCTATCTATCTATCTATCTATCTATCTATCTATGAAACTCTGAGGTCGGAATCTATCTATCTATCTATCTATCTATCTATCTATGAAACTCTGAGGTCGGAATCTATCTATCTATCTATCTATCTATCTATCTATCTATCTATGAAACTCTGAAGTCTGAATGCTGACACCAATCAATTAATGACAAACTTTTACTCATACTAATTGACTCGTGAAACACACTATCAGGAACATGGCTTTATTCAATATCGCTCGACAACAAAACTTTTCCTCTATATCAGTCAGTTATGTGCCATGCGTGATACACGCATAGGTGATCATGTATCTTTCGATACATGTCTGACGAGGCAGATTTTTTCCGCAGTTGGCTGCCATTTCTTTCTGCGCTAGACGAGTTGTCATCCAAGGCTATAGAACCCGGTTCGTTCTGCTATTTACCCATAGCTGGTAGGGGAGGGGGAGAAGAGAATTCATACCTTTCCCAAGAGTATTAGCACGTAAGTGAATGTAATGGATTCGACTGGAATTCGAACTCGGCTCTCTGATTCCTCAATTCGGCCGCTATCCATTACTCCACCGTATACTCCTATCCATTATTCCTTCCTCTATATACTGTTCAAATATAGCAATATATCTTCAATGCGAAGTGAGTTCGATCCTCTTCCATGTTGCCTGAAACTATGTTCGAACCCATATAAATGCTTGCATTTCAATAGGTATATCTTAATATACAAACTTTAGATACGTCTGCCACAACGCCATTGGATTGTGGGCACCTTTTTTAGAATAAAAATTAGTATACCGTTTAGATGGTGAGTTCCGTCTGAAGTCTGGAGTGAAGTCCGTCAGAAGTCTGTCAGTCAGTCAGAACGAGCGAGTCAGTCAGTCGAGTCAGAGGCAGTCCGAAGGTGAGTCGCATTCAGACAATTACTACTAAACCTGATTGTTCGTACTAACACTTTCTACTTCTCTGTATATATTCCTGTTTGTAATATATCTGTGTTATTCCATACCTGTGTCCGAGTTCTTCTTTATTGGTTCTACCTTGGACTATCACCGTCGTACAAGGAATCGGACTATAACATATCTCTATATATACATTACTTCAAATGTCATTATATGGGAAATTCGTAATTGAAATAGACACCTCATTTTTATTTTTACTTTAAAGTGTGTCTATTAAATCTGTCGACCTGCGCACTCGACAACTCTCAATAAAGAAAATTTACTCTCCGGCAGGAATCGAACATGTGTTCCCCTTTGTAGGAGAGACCACCATTTGATCCGGTGTGCTTTACCGATCGGGCGCGAATTGCGTTACATTTCAGTAACGCTCTATTTTCCCTTTTAAGGAAAGCACAAATTTCGTGCAAAGGCATTTTTTCTCGGAAGCCCATATCTGCTCAGTTTTGTATTCTACAAGAAAGCAATTTCTAAAGAATTAATGAATGTATTTTTAATCAGTCATCCTTATAACTTCAAACTTTCCTTAAAAGAGAAAATAGGGTCTTTCTATGTTGTGATGCCCTTCGCATTCAAACGGTAAAGCACACCAGTCACAACGGGGGTTTCTTTTGTAGAGGAAGAAAGGTTCGATTCCTGCCAGAAAGCAGGTTTTCTTTATTACGATTTCTTGAATACGCACGTCGCTAGATGTAATACAAAATTTTTAAAATAAAAATAGGGAGTAGTTTTTCAAATAAGAATATCTACTAATAATAACATTTGAAGTAATAAAATGCCGAAATAAAATTAAATTCATTAATTCGTTATATATATATATATATATATATATATATATATATATATATATATATATATATATATATATCGGTATAACAGCTACATTGTCCAATTGTTAGATTAAGCTTTGAACCGTTGTATCTTAGAAATGATTAAAGGTATCTCACTGAAATTCTCCGAGGTTTTTATAACACTATTGATCTTTGAACAATGAGAATGTGTTTAGCTCTAAGTTAAAATGATGATCCCTCTTCCTTTTGTGACCTTCTGGTCCAGTTTTCCTCGCTACCGTTCCCACTTTTTTAAACTTATTCACCTTTCTCTTGATGGTTCTTGAATGAAGATTGAAGATGGAAACCAGAATATGAATGTTGTTACCATTACTAAAGGCGTGAATGATCTTTTTCCTCTGACAATTGATTAGTTTGAAAGATACGGTGGGGCTGACACAAGAGGATTTTAACCTGTTCTCTTTCGAGCTGAATAACTCAGTGATTCTTACGACAAATGGTGTCAAGATGGCTAAACGTCTTATCTGAAAACCTGGGAAAAGAAACTAAAATTAGTTTAATGTCTTTTTCGATATGAAATATTTTGTGGGATGGACAATTATCGCATGCTGTTGTGTGATTTGTACAATTTTGCTTTTACACCCGATATATATATATATATATATATATATATATATATATATATATATATATATGTGTGTGTGTGTGTGTGTGTAAGTGTAATTGATTCTTTTATTTAGTTACTCATTAGCACCCTCTTGTAACTAAATCAAAAATGGTATTTTTATATGTATTAACAAGTATAAAAGTATTTAAAATAGTATTCTTAAATATTTAATTAATTATAACTTACTTTACTATAGATGATGTTATGGAGTTTTTATTTTTATTGATCCTGCCATTATTTTTAGCCTTTTTTTTACATGTGAATGAGGCAAATATATTGTTATTTTCTACGAGTATGTTACAGATAAAGTTCAGTAGGTTTCCGTGTGTGTTTAAATAAGTTCTAATTGAGCTATATATATATATATATATATATATATATATATATATGTGTGTGTGTGTGTGTGTGTGTGTGTGTGTGTGTGTGTAATTGATTCTTTTATTTAGTTACTCATTAGCACCCTCTTGTAACTAAATGCTACAGTGTCATAGATCACAGACAATTTACATTACATTAAGGCCCAGCAACTAATACTTCTATTTCCCGGGGAAATGTTGATTTGATTTAATATACGGGGTCTCAACTGGGGAAAAAAGAGACTCGTTCCAAATGGAATTATTTATAAAGTTTTCTGTGATCGCCGAAGCGGAAATATTGACAAGTGTATGTAAATTTTCACTCTTACTTCATCTATGCTACATGTCACTGATATGGGAAATTATATATCACCGGAGTAACATGAGGAATGGGGCAGAATATCTTTACGATTGCATATCAACATAGGTTGGTAAGTGAAAACATGAAGTTCACATTCTAAGGATAAGTAAAGTATTTACTTTGCAGAGCAAAATACTTTTCACGATAATCTTCTTCCTTGTCAATGCCCTTAATTCAGTGATGAATATTAATCCATAGGCTGATTATTACACAATGAACATTCCCTTTTTTTTTTAATTCCCTTTCACCATAGTGCTCCATCGACGAACAAGAGCATTCATCTGCAGAGAGACTGTTTCATCATTGCTTCAAACCGGCATCGAAACTCG